GTGAAAAAGAACGCATATAACTGTGACGTCACTATTGCTTATACATTAACTAATGACGTCATCTGCCGTGTTTAGAATAAAAAGAAATGAACTATTTCATTCAAATTTGATTTAGATCTACGTACACTATGAAATGTATACAATACAATTTTTCCGGCCTAAATTCATAAAATTTATTTTATTTATTTGGATTCTAGATCTAGATATTCTAGATTCATCTATTCAAATAATACATTTCTATACTAAAGTATTTCAGGCCTTAATTACTTTATTGAAATCTTTATTTATCTATGCCATTTGCTAATCTCTATAATATATAAAGCAAAGTTGTCGGGTGCCCGATAGGGAACTTCCCGGCGCCGCAGGCGCTTCAAATTTGGCAGGATCTTGCCTTGGGGCGACAGAACACGGGGGCCGGTTGGCCGAAAAGTCTACGATGATGGGGTCAAAACTGACCTCAACTGACCGGCGCCTTATATGAGCTATAAATCGAAAAAAAAAATGTCCACGGAGGAACCTCTTCATAACTCCTGAGGTCGTAGACCGACCCTCGGGCGAATTAATTAAGCATTCAAATTCTCAATGTTTTCGAAAGCCTAAGCAAAGCTGGGCAGCATGCCTAGTACTTCGTATAACCGAGAAAGTAAAAATGTATTGCCTACTATAACATAACCCCCCCCCTTCCCCCCCTTCGTAACCAAACCGTGCCCTATTATTTATTACATAAAGCCATCCAGTGCTAGCACGTATTGATTAGACGAAATAGAATAAATCTTTCGTCGGGAAACTTTTCAATAACGCCTTCGGTTATCTAACACGCTCTAATCAGAATAAGACCAATTAGTCTGGTCAACACGTTAATTAATGATACCTTTCAATTACCAGGCGTCGGTAAATAAACAAGATGGCGGCGGAACAAACTGTAAACAAACCGGCACGTGACCGCTCTCCTTCAGACGTGGAATCACAGTGGAGAGAAGCTGAATAAAATATTTTTTGATCCGTTTCTTTAAGCGTTAGGGTTTTTTAAACTTTTTTATTTGTTTGAATGAGCCAGCGTTTGGGTTAGGGTTTGATGGTGGACTAGACCGCATCGATTTGGGTTTGTTGTGTAAACTGAATGTCTGCTAATAGAAGGCAAACAACCACAGCTAACTAGGTGACGTCATATTAATTCACTTGAGTAAACCCTTTGATGGACGCTAAGTATTGAGGACATAAAAACCTTTATTGATAAGATTGTTATTCAATTTTCTAACGGCTTTTTAAACTTTGGTGAAAAAAAGGATAATTTTATAAACTTCTGCGTAATGTTTAACTTAAATTGCATATCCTTTTGAAAAATATATGGTGTAGGCTTACATATTAGAACATATCATTCAAGTTGGTTTTATCTGGAGTAATTGTAAAACGTGTGACTATGACATTTAAGTACCTCTTCTACTATTCATCCCTAAGTCTTTTTTCCAATCCGTTAGTATTTTTTTTTACTGTTTTTCTTAAGTGTTTTTTTTTTATTTTTCTTTATTTGTACCAAAAAGAAACGATGACTGTACAAAACATAACACAGAATTACACAGAGATATTGTGTTCGCCATATACCGCATCAGTATGTTTCTTGACCTCGGTATGTGAAAGGATGGTATGGTCAGCACTAAGCCGGACGCCTTTTATATTTCTGCGTAATTCAGGTATCAATCAGAGCTGACTGGACTACAGTCACAAGTTCAAACCGAGATCCGAACTCTAGACCTTCAGGCTAGCGGCCGAAGCTCTACAACTCGACCACACCGTCCCACAAGAACAGCGTCTAGTCTCCTTTTATAACGCTGGAGTGGTTACATTTTAAAATCGTTCGATAGCTAATTAGTTCCCAAAAGCTAGTTAGTTAACAAATTAATTTAATTATCAGATATTTTATTCCCATTTGACATGTAGCCTAGAAAATCTCATTAAACATGTCGTTCTTTTAGAATCGTTTGCTGCGCTTTTGTTCCAAATATCTTATCATAAGAATCTTAGCAAACTGAAAACGATTCAAGAATAATTGTTTAACCCTTAAACAAGAGATTGTACTTATATCTGTGAGGAAAAAAAAAGAACTAAGTAATGGGGGGGGGGGGGGAAATCTAAATTTAGCTTATGTTTTGATGAGAATTTAAGACATGCACAACAAATGTTAGGGCTGTTTAAAAGCAAAAATTATGAAATTTAAAAAAAATAAAACTTTTTTAATAACAAGCTTTTATGTTACGAGCCGACCCGCTGCGTATCATACGCCGCTATTTAGTTTTTTTTTCTCTACTTTTCAGTAATTTATAATTTGTGAATTCGACAGTACCAATGCTGCCACTAAAAATATTTGCTTAAAAACACTAACCCCCCCCCCCCCCCCCCCCCACGTGAAAGCAGCCTCCTCTTAGTTACCTCCTCTAAGTTTAAAATCGTTTCAAACTAAATTATCTGCCCCTAATAGCCGTCACCAAACCCGTCTCTATGATTGTAAAATGTAAACAGCGTGACCACAGCTCACCAGACAATGCGAGGGGGTGGGGGGTGGGGGGTGGTAGCTTGCAGCTTGTTTTCTAACGGCTCCCAGAAGAGAATTATATATATAGATAATGCACTAAAAAGTAGAAAAAATACTTAAAAAAACTTTTAAAAAAACACGTTTTTCTTGTGGACTAAAAAGTAGAAAATAAATTTTTCTTCCGACCCTAGGGGATCTACCAATGACTGCTCGTAGATTTTGTGCTTCCTCGAGCTGTGCAGGTTCTTGTGATGACTGTTCATACATTTGATGATAAAAAACGTGGGTACGTTTTCGCTTTAATCATAAATCTGCCCGACCCACGTTTTTTGTCATCAAATGTCCCCAAGAAAAACGTGTTTTTTTTAAAAGTTTTTTTTAAGTATTTTATTTTCTCCTTTTTAGTCCGTTGCTACACATGAAAAACGTGGTTTTTAAAAAGTTTTTTATATAGTTTATTTTCTACTTTATCTAATGACTTGATTAATTATGACTTGACTAAGTGTTTTTAAATACATAAAAATTTAGAGGATTTTTTATCAAAATAAAAAGGATCAAAAGGTTTTTGAATGCTTTTAGGTAGTTGGCCCACCGCCCATCCCTCCTCGAACAGATTAACTGTCGATTCTCCACCCACCTTAAGCATTACACTGTAAAACATTTTAAAAAAAAACGTGGTAATAAAAAAAAGAATTGCACACCAAGTGAAACGTTTCTCTTTCAAACCTGACGGTCTATGGAGCAAGTGAAGTAGAGTTCACTTGTTTCTGTGACCTCGGCATATAAAGAGATAGTGTGGTCAGCACTATGCTCAGCCGCCTTTACTTTCCCTAACAGGAGTTAGGTACCCATCAGAGTTGGATGGACTCAGGGACGGTCTACTGACTTGAACTCGGATTCGAACTCGAGACTAACGGGTTAGCAGTCCAGCTCTCTACCGCTAGACCACTCCGTCCCACACAAAGTGAACGCCTAATAAAATGTGTATATTATTAGTACTTTATAAATTTACATGCGTTTTTTGAGAAATCATGTCCTCAATTTGAGTGTACTAGGTGCGTAATTTAATTAAGCTAATTTAGGTCTCTAATTGCTAGTTTTTTTCTGATTGCATCTGAAATTGTTAGGCGAAAATAGCCTACATGCCGAATTTCAGATCTCTAGAGCTATCAGAAGTGGGCTAATTTTCGTTGTCAATTTTAACAACAAACAAACGCGAAGCCGAGTTAATAAAAAAACGTGTTAAAATAACGACACACTACTATTTAAATAGCTATAAAAAGCGCGGGTCACTTTATTATCTATTGGATAACTTTACTAATATTTAGGAAGAGACCCACACTTTTCTTTATAGCTATTTAAATAGTAGTGTGTCGTTTATTTTCTACTTTTTAGTGCATTATAACATAAAAGCTTGTTATTAAGTGTTTTATAATTTTTTTGTCAGTAGGCCTACTTTAAATTTTTAAATTTACAATATAGTTACATGACTAAAAACTATTGCGCACCTAATGAACGTGATAACGCGCGTATAATAGTGCGGAATGGTTGGATAAGACTACCTACTAATTTGGACACAATTTTAATTAATTCATAAAAAATACATTTCTTAGGCATCCAATTAAGTCAAATTAAATGTCAGATTGGATTGTCTTCATGTCTTGACCCACGAGCCAACTTTGAACCGAATCTGTCAGTTAGAAGTGCCCGAAATTTCGCTCGAGCATTTCGATCTCTGAGAACATATAGACAGACTTTTGATTGACAGATTGTCGACAGACAGAGGAAGCAAGTTAAATAAAAACTGGAAAAAGTAGTGAAGTTTGCTATTTTTAGAAATTAGAAGAGCATTAGGGAAAGTATCCTTAAAATCAAAGGCCCTGGTAAACCCGCTTCTTCTCCCACATTCGCCGCAATACATAGATAAGGTAGCATTTTAAAAAATATCGTCAGATGCTAGCTTGTGATATTGCTGTTGACATCTCATGTTTGTTGACATTTCATAATTGTTGACATTTGGCCAGTAGCGTAGCGAGGGGGGGGGGCATATCAAAATCTCGAGGGGGGGGGTGCAAATCGAAAAGTTTGTCCCCGGGCGCCGGGAAGGGTCGCTACGCCTCTGCATTTGGCTGTGATTTCATGTTTATCGACAATGTGGCTGTGATGTCATGTTTGCTGTGTTGCCCTCATGTCACGTTTGTTGGCAGTGTTGTTGTCATGTCATGTTTGTTGACATTAATGCCGTGATGTCATAATCATTGACGTTGTGGCTGGGATCTCACGTTTGTTGACATTGTTGCTATAATGACATTGTTGACATTGTTGCTTTAATGTCATTTTTATTGACATAGTTGCTATGATGTCATGTTTATTGACATTGTTGATGATATGACATATTTATCGACATTGTTGCAGTGATGTCATGTTTGATGACATTGTTGTTGTCATGTCATGTTTCTTGACATTCCAGCAGCTGACGAGGACAAAAAGAGGCGGTGCCGCACCAACTTCTCCTGCCACCAGATGGAGACACTAGAGGCGGCCTTCAGGGCGAGCCACTACCCGGATGTCTTCACCAGGGGGGCGCTGGCAGGGCGCCTCCACCTGACAGAAGCCAGAGTCCAGGTGGGTCAATCACAACCCCCGGAGTCTGGGGTTTAAAAAAATATTTTAGTGTTTTGCGTAAATATAATTTTTTATTTAAAGTTGTACGTTGTTTCTTTACAAAGAGTTTTATAATTTAAAAACAAAAATTATTATTTATGTCTAAAGTTACGAAAATTCCTTTATATTCACAATTATATTCTTTCAGCGTGAAATTAAGCTTCTTAAAATTAATGTAAATTTAATGTAATTAGTTGTTTAATAAATTAAGTGTTTAAATGGAGATAGCGATTTTAAGCAAATGCTGTTCCTTAACTGAAGAATAGCACAGAGTGTTATTATTAATCTAATGCGATTAAATTATGAAGTAAGAAACTAGAACGTGTTAGTTTGCAAGAAATGGCTAATAAAACTAATATAATTCGCTCAACTGTGTTAGCAAAAAAAAAAAAAATTTAAAATAAAAAAAATAACCTAGATGAAACAAGTAATTAAAAAAAGTCTAGTGACAATTTTAGCGCAATTTCCTTATGTTATCTAAAAATAGCTATGTCGTAGCGTAAATCAAGAGCAGGGTTAGTAAAACCATTGGTTAGTTATTAAAACGTTTTTTATTTTTAAAAAATTCAGTATTTTACATGTTTTATTTACAATAGAGTAACATGACTAAAAACCATTGCGCGCCTAGCTACCGAACGTGATGTCGCATCCATTGAACGTAATGGCGCAGCTATTGAACGTGATGACGCGTGTGGTGTGGTTGGATAAAATGCCTACTAATTCGGTCCAAATTTTAATTAATTCAAAAATTTTTTTGTGACCGAACGAAAGGATATTTTTGAAAACTTTCTTCGGCAATATTGTTCTAAATTATGGCAGGAATCGATTGGTACATTTTCAAGTCGCTAAGTGGTCTGGTTGCCGAAATATGGGCCAAAAACTGCTTTTTTTCGAGGTTTTTTGGCTTTTCCGGGAAATCCATGAAAGAAACCCGGAATTTTTATGGCCTATGTTCATTCTCGTAACTTGCTTAACATAATTGCTTTTGGAACTAGTCATTGATATTGCTTCGTTGAGGAGGAGATACGAGCCCGGACACACATTCATCCATACATTCATTCATTCATCCATCCATTCCCAGAAATGACGAGTTAATAAACGCAATTCTCCAGAATGGAAATTGCGCTAAAAAGTAAAGGATTCTTAAAGAATAAAATTTGTTCGAGTAAGTGAATGAAATATCTTGTTGTGTAGATCAACTGATAGATTTATTTATCAATCTAACGATTTGAATTCTTGCAATCCCACCCAAGTAGAGATACTAAACAAAAACATTTCAACGGTTCAAAAAATTAAAAAAAAATCTCAATCTGCGTCTGGTGTTTCCCTAACACTAATCCTAACCCGAACACAACCGACAACTGCCGGCCCAGGATGTTTCAATAAATCAAGCCCTCCCTCCTAAGCAAGAAATGGATCTTCTCGATAGATCAACCGATAATTTTCCGCGAACATGAAATAAAATAATGATGGGCCCCATAAAAACAGCAAAGCCCTCCGTTGAAGGGAAGCGACCGGTGCAAAAGATACAGTTACCTCCCATCTTTACTAGGGGAAATAATAAAAACAAAATTAGACCTCGGCGACTGAGCCGTTATTTCGGTGTTCTAAAGCCACACCTCCCCATCTCTGTGCGGTGGACGGATCTCAGATAAAGACAGAGATACCGTGACGGACAATGGAAACGTAAACGCCGTGTGACGAGAGCGTAGCGGGGCGCCATTGTTGGGAGCCGGCGCCCCACAGAGGTCTGTAATTTAAGCTCGGCGATCTGAAGGCACGGGGGACACCTAGAGTGTTAGAATCTGACCAGAGGAGAGCCGCGCTAAGCCCGACAATAAAACAATGTCCTCCCCAGCAGGTAGCAGTATCCGCAATACTAGGGCCGAACTTAGAGAGATGTATGGCCCAACTGCAATGTTTTATACGCATACATACATATATACATACATACATACGCATATATATATATATATATATATATATATATATATATATATATATATATATATATATATATATATATATATATATATATATATATATAATATGTGCACATGTATTTATATAAAATAATATGTATATAATATATATATGCGTGTGTATATATATGTATGTATATATGTATACGTATATATATATATATATATATATATATATATATATATATATATATATATATATATATCTACAATATTGTATGTGTGGTGAGATAATTGTGAAACAAGAAGAGACATCAAGTTGTGAGACTGGATCACAAATAGTGACACAATATGGGACAGTTCACAAAACACCAAACAGGTCGTACATCACACGATGCACTCTGAGATGACTACAAAGCTCGTTCAAGGGAGACGACCCGTTCTCTCTCGTCCTTTAGCACTGTTTAGTGTATCATTTTAAGGCTGATCTCCCTTATATCAATATCGCAGCAGAAACGGGGTGGTGGTGTGTATTAAAGGAGGGGGGGGGGGGTGTTGGCTTGATGTATGTGTGTAGAGAGGGGGTGATGTAGAGGGGGTGGAGGTAACACCAGCCCAGAAGATCGCCATTTCCAGGCCGGGGTGTTTTATTTCAATCAACTTTGTTGTCACTTTAAGTGCCTCGCCCCACCAAACCGCCCGTTTTTATTTCACGCGCCGCGGCCGGGCATCACGTGATACAAACAATAAACCCTAAGCCCCAGGTTCATTGGTGGAGCGTATCAGTAACCTTCTAATCTTTCCCCCAACCCGGCTCTGGGGATTGTGTGGGAAGACAATAGGGTGAGAACTGAGCTGGAACTTACATAAGATGTTAGCTGACTAGCCTAATACGATATTAGCCGGCTAAACATAACTTACATAAGATGTTAGTTGACTAGCCTAATACGATATTAGCCGGCTAAACATAACTTACATACGATGTTAGTTGATGTTAGCTGACTAGCCTAATACGATATTAGCCGGCTAAACATAACTTACATAAGATGTTAGTTGATGTTAGCCGACTTATCTAATACGATATTAACCGGCTAAACATAACTTACATAAGATGTTAGTTGACTAGCCTAATACGATATTAGCCGGCTAAACATAACTTACATAAGATGTTAGCTGGCTAACCTAACACGATATTAGCCGGCTAAACATAACTTACATAAGATGTTAGTTGATGTTAGCTGATGTTAGCTGACTAACATCTCTTCTATCAATCCCCCCACCCAAATAA